GTGTATGTATGTATGTATGTATTTATTTATAAATTTATTTATTTGTCTTATCCCTGACAAAAAACAAAAACAACAAACAAACAAACAAAAACAGGCTTTTAACTCTAGCTGAATGGCGCGCGCTATTGCGCATGTCCTCCCGCCTCCTCGTTCAGGCGCACGCGAAGTTTCAGCTGCAGTTTTGTTTTTCGGCCTGAAAGAGTGAGAGTCAACCCAGCAGCTGTGTTTGTGTGTCAGGTGTTTAATAAGCGGACGTGAATCACACACACTGCGGGATATCAGCTGTTTTTACAGCTCGACAGGTGAGTTAGCAACCAGTTTACAAGCTGTCAGGCCAATTCCGGCAAAAATACCTCACACCAAAAAAAAAACAATGAGGCGTGAAACCGTAGATTAGCCCAAACAAGCGTATACGAGCACTTAAAATGTTGTGTAGTCGTGTAAAAGTTCGTATTTTGCTACAGGAATGTATACTTAAGTGTTACGTAATAGGTTTATGTTTGTTATCAGATATCTGTCACTTAATAGGTATTTACGCTTATAGTAGTTTCAAAGCAGCTTCTATTGTTATTGTACATGTACTCATTTACTAGCTAATAAACTTGTGCTCTTGTCTTTCCCCTTTATCTTCTTACAGGCTTAATGAAGCTTTAAAGGAAGTAAATAGGGATAATATGTGTCCAACTACTAGTTACCAGTTAACGCAGGTGGTTTGACAACGTCCTGCCTTTAGAGATGTTACATTGGCTAGTAATGCTAAAGTGTAGCTTTTAACCAGAGTTCAACTTCTATGCTTCAGACAGAGAGTTTAGTAGACAGGTTTATGTTGTTTCGAGGAGGAAGGTTTCCCATCAGCGGCTATTATGGCAAGTGTCCTTGCATCAAAAATGGGTCTCAACTCGCTTCGGAGGAAACAAGCCAAAACCTTCAGTGTCACAGTTGTTACAATGGATGCAGACTTGGAGTTCAGCTGCGAGGTGAGTAGCAAGTGCTTTGTTTTTATGTGGTGAATTAACTTTAAACTGTCTCTGAGTGCGTACATATCACCTTTACATTATTTTATGGGAGTAAACCTGTTGTAGCCTACAACCAAACCTGCGCTGGCAGTGATCAATGCTTCTCATCAGTAACCAGAGGGCATGTAAGCTTAACTTGGGGAAAGCACCAGACTGTCGACATTTTAACGTCCCCGCTCACTGTTGTTGTGCCCTTTAGCAAGTCACTCAGCCTGACCTGTTTCTCCAGGGGTGCTGCGTCAAGACATCCCTGTTTCCTCGAGCGTCTTTAATGTTTGAACTGAGGCAATTCAGTGGCCTTAAGGAATAGCTCTTCCAAATTCACTTTTTTGTGTGGAAAACAGAAGCTTGGACATTCTGCCTAACAGCTTTTTTTTTTTTTTAAGAATATTGACGAGAATTTTTCCTTAAAAATAATCCCAAAACGTTTTCAAAAAAAGTGCTTGCGGGGAAAAGCTGAAACAAACATACAAATCTACAAAGCAAGCAGCACCCTGTATGGCAGTAATCATCATTCCCACGTATAAAGGGGTTTTGTACAGACTGTGAATCCGGTGGGAGTTCTGCAGGCATACAGATGACTCCTCTGTGGAGCTGCACTTCATTTGCACATAACATCCGCTGAGTTTCTTGAAGAAAAAAAGGCCCTATTTTTACACTGAAACCATCTCAGGGAGTGCTGTTGAATTAAGGGAAAACAGATGGTGGTAAGAGAACAGTGTGACAGACAGGGACCATGAGTTAATGTCCCATGAGCCACGGTGGTCCCACTCCACCAGACCCTGTGTACTGC